GCAGCCCGGCCCCATCCCGAATCCTCGAGTCAGCACGCCCGCCGCCTAGACAGCAGTTCCCACGGGAGGAGCCCGGAGCCGGTACAGACCCGGGGCCAGCCAGGGAGGGAGGGAGGCAGACTCGGCCCGCCCAGTGACGTCTCGGGTCTCCGTCGGGCCAGTCCATCCTCTTCCCCGACCCAGTTTGGGCCGGCCAATCCCTGGCGAATGGATTCATCCGCCCCCCACTCCTTCCTCCAGCCCTCCGATGGGGCTGGGTCCCTGCAGTGGAGACCCCTAGACGAACCAGCGCTTCCATCCCGCCCCTCTGCCCTCCCCGAGGCCAACGGGCTCCTGGAGGGCTCTGCTGGTCCAGGGCAGGGGCTGTGGGTCCCGTGGAGGTTCTGATCCGGTCCTGCGCTTGGCTAGAGGCAAAATACCAACAGCTGCCCTTCCCTGCCGTGAGGATTGCACCTACAGCTTCTAAAGTGCTTTTCTTGCCACTGTCCCATTTCATCCTCACGAACTTGGTGTGGTTGCTGTTTGACAGATGACAAAATTGAGGCCCAGAGAGGCTGAGTCACTAGCGCAAGGTGCCAGAGCTGGAAGGGCGTCCCAGGACCGGAAGCTGGTATGCTGGACATATCTCAGAAGACACTTCCCGCAGTCTCAGGGGCTGTGTTATCCAGGAAGAAAACCCGGCCGGCACTTACACACAGGGCTCCAGATTTCCACCAGGACCCTTAACTTTGGATATCAGAGCTGCACAGCTGTATTTCTTATTATACCGATGGGGAAACTGAGGCCCAGAGAGGAGAAGGGTCTTGTCCAAGTTCACAAGCCGAGTCAGGTTCTGGCTTCCATTCCTTGGACTGTCAGATGAAGTTCCTGAGGCTTGTATGGCTCCCTCTCCTGCCTGAGACCTGGGGCTGATGTTTGGGTACTGTGGGGAGGGAGAGTTTAGGGCCAGAGTCCTCCAAATCAAAGAGCGAGCAGAAGGAAGATTTAGTGCCACAGAAAAACACATGCAAAATGACAAAGATGTGTCACTAAAGCAAGAAGGAGGTGGGAGGGAAGGGGTTTGACTTGATTTTTCATCATTTGGCTTCCCAAGTGGAGGCTCAAACCCTGACCACAGGGGTGAGAGCCTTGGAACCAGCCTCACTGAGCCCTGTTTGGGCTCATGGGCTAGGCCTCCTGGTGATCCCAGGGTCAAGGTGGACCTGTGTTAGGCTCAGATGGAGGTCAGAGTGTGTTTCCTCTGGACCCACCAGGCCCTAACCCAGAGCAGATGGGGCTCTGAGTGGGCCCAGGTGAAGATCTTTGTCACTGGGATCAGGCTCCGTTCATAGCCAAGGTCAGGCAGGGCTCATAGGCTCATGGAACAGGGGAGAAGCAGCCGTTGGTCCCTCCCAGAACAGATGGAGCCCAGGATTCCTGTTCCAGGAAGCTGAGTCAGTGGCCGGCTTGGAGCTCACAGCCCTGGGCTCCTGAACCAGAGCCAAGGTGTGGGTTAGATGCTATCCCAAGGTCTGTGGCCACCATGGGGGTGTTTGGTGAGATGTGACTCCCATCTCCACGTGCGCTGCTCCATACGCCTGGCCCGCTGGCCCTCTAGGGACTGCTGACCAGCCCAATTCTCTGGTGCTTACGGAGGCAAGAGGTGCTCGGCCCTGCAGCAGCTGGACTGGGCTCAGGTTCTCTCCTGGGCTCTGTCCAGAAGCAAGCAGTCTGGGAAGGAGGCTAACTTCAGAAGTAATGTGAGCCCTCACCGTGGAGCATGGCCAGCTACCCACGCCCCAGCGTGGCTTCAGGACGGCACAGGGCCTCAAAGGGCATAGAGTCCTGCTGGCCCCCAGCTCAGGTGCCCCCAAGGGCTTCCTGTCAGGTCCCTGTGCCTGAGGCTGTGACTGTGATCAGGGTTGTGGCTTTGGTGGGTGATTGTGATGGTTGACGTCTCGGTTTCTGGTCTCTTGGTGACAGGGGAGGGACAAATGGAGGAAGTGTCTCTGTCCCTCAGGGGAAACTGACAGGCCCTATCACAACACCACCCAAGACCATGGAAAACTGACAGGACTTGAGCGACACACCCTTCCTGCTCTATGCGGGTAACAACCTGGCCTCATGTCACACTGAGGAGAAGGGGCCGCCTCTGAATCTGTGTTCCCACCTTCTCCTCCCTGAGTCATTTCTGAAGACCTTTACCTTTGTCCTTTACCGAAGGACAGCCGCAGTGGCTTTCTGTCAGCGGGGATGAAATGCCGGCTCTTCCCTGGATGACTTTACTCCATCTCCTCCGCCCACCTGGTCTCCTTACACTTCTGGCTGCAGCAGCCGCATCTGTTCTGTGAACACCCAGGCTTGTGCCCTCCTCAGGGACATACAAGCCCCAGCCTACCCCCAGCCTCTCCACCTGTCTGCTTCCCATCCTCCCAGGCCCAGCTCCAAGAGGCCTTCCCTAACTTTCCCCCTAGAGGGGCTCCCCAACCCTCTCTAGGGTGTCACTCCTGCTACTGCCTGTTCGGCACCAGTCCTCATCTGCACAGCCACTTTCATAACTTATGTGCTATCGTTTGTTTTCCCAAATGCAGTCTCAAATTCCTGGGCTCAGGCAATACTCCTGCCTCAGCCTTCCAAGTGTGGGGAATACCCGTGCATGCTACCACGCCTGGACACTCACATGTTATTTATTTCACCACCTACTCCACCGGACTGTAAGTTCCAAGAGGTGGAGACCTCCTTTTCTGCTCTCCCTGGTATCTGGCTGGTGCCTGTGATGGTTGAAATATGAGGCGTCGCTCAGAGACTCGTGTGTTAAGGGCTTGCTCCCAGTGCAGCAGTGTTCAGGCAGAGGGCCGAGAGAAGAGAGGCACTCAGACCGTAAGGGCTTCTCATCAATGAGCTCATAGCTGAATGGGGAGTTTAAGGCCCTGTTCGAGGGCATAAGTCACTCGGGCATGCCTCTGGAAGGTCCCCTTCCACTCTCTCTGGTTTTTTTTTTTTTTTTTTTTTTTTTTTTTTTTTGAAACCAGGTTTTGCTGGCTTCGAACTCATGGAGCTCCTCCTGCCTCATCCTCCCAAGCACTAGAGTGCTGGAACTACAGGTATATGCCACCACAGCTGGCTCTCTCTTCCTCTTTCTCTGCTTCCTGGCTGCTATGAAGGGAGCTGCTTTCCTCTACCACACCCTTCTGCTGTGATGTTTCTGTCTTGGAGCCAGGTGTCCATGGACTGGAACCTCTGAGACCATGAGCCAAACAATACCTTTTCACAGTTGTGAATTCAGGTATTTCTGTCCCAGCAACGGAAAGGGCTAGGGATGTAGCTCAGTGGTAGAGTACCCAGGTTCAATTCCCACTACAAAAAAAAAGAAAGGCAGGAATGTCAGGCCTGCTTTCTGCTTTCCACTGGGATATAAAGGGAAAGGGCAAAGCTTTCCCTTGGCACTGGGCCCAGAGAGTGAAAGATGGACCAGAACTTGCAGGGGCCCCTGTATGGAGGCGGCAGAAGTTGCCAGGTGATCTCTCAAGGCTTTGAGTTTTGCCAGTTTAAAGGTCCAGGACCGGAGATTTAGTTCAGTGGTTCTGCCGCCTGCCTTGCAAGCATAAGGTCCCAAGTTCGATGCCTGGTACCAAAAAAACACCCTCCTCCCAAAAAAAAAGGTCCAACTGCCCAGCCTTGCTTGTCTTCATTTCATCCCAACCACCAGCATCCCCCCAGTGGACTTCCATTGCAGCCACTACCCTTTTCTCTTTAGGAGCAGGCCTCCCTGTGAGAGTCTTTTAGACTAAGCACCCCTCACTGCTCCTGAGGCTGAGGGGACCACAGACCCCTTCCCACTCCCGGGCAGACAGCATTTGCATATGGCCTGGGCCCATCTAAGGGGACACTCGAGTGCAACGCTCTGAGTGTGGCACAGGCGAAGAGGGTTAATAATTCACTCAGAAATCAAAGATTTCTAAAAGCTGAGGCAGGAGGATCATGAGGTCAAGGCCAGCCTGGGCTATGTAGCAAGTTCAAGGCCAATCTGAACTACACAGTGAGACCCTGTCTCAAAACAAAACAAATCTGCTCAGCAAGCAGCCTTTGGTAGCAGCGGTCGGTGTGTCCAGTCTAATGGTAGCTTAGTCTGTCTGATGCAGCCACTTCCCTGCTTTCTGCTCCTTACCAGAATCTGGATCTCCAGGCTTTGCACCAGATTTGGGAGTGCCACATATCTTCCTTTTCTTCATAGGTCAGCCAGGATTAGATTCTGTTGCTTACACCCAAGAACTCTGATTGCTACCTACCTTCACCACCTGCTATTGTCATTGTCACCTCAAGATCAAACTAATCCCAGCGGGGCGTAGTGGTGCATGTTTTTAATCCCAGCAGTCAGGAGGCTGCAGATCGACAGCTTTCACCATCCTCATGTTCTCAAACTCTATCTGCTGGGAATAACAACCCCTGTTAATATTTTGGCAGGAAGATTTTTTTTTTTTTTTTGAGACAGGGTCTCACTATGTAGTTGAGACTGACCTGAAACTCACTATGTAGCCCAGGCTGGTCTCACAGTGATCTTCCTGCCTCAGCCTCCCAAGTGCTAGTATTACAGGTGTGCGCCAACACGCCCCACTAGGAAGGATTTAATATAGGGCAAGGGAAACATTTTTCAGAGTCAGAATGAACTGAGCCTTCTGCAATGACTCCCAGAACTACACAGAACTGGCCCATTAAGAGAGCCACAACCAAACCAGGCATAGTGGTGCTCACTTGTAATGCCATCACTTTGGGAGGCTGAAGCAGGAGAATCACAAGTTTGAGTCTGGGTTATTTATTTAGAGTCAAGGTCTCGCTATGTAGTTCAGGCTTGTCTTGAACTCACTACATAGCCCAGGTTGGCCCCAAACTCATGGTGATTCTTCCGCCTCAGTCTCCTGTGTGCCATGATTACAGGCATGCACCACCACCCCACCTGGTGAGCTGGAGTAATTTAGAGAGACCTTGTCTCAAAACAAAAAATAAGAACTGAGGATGTAGCTCACTGTGACAGCCCTGAGTTCAGTCCCCAGTACTGTGGCGGGTGTGTGGGGGACCAACACAAGAGTTATACATTCAGGACACCTCCCACCCCTAACCCAAGCTTCAATCCAGGGCCCCAGAGGCTGGGTTTACGAATCTGCTGAGCTAGCACCGTGTTCCTTATTTCAACTGCTGTTGCAGAACAGCTAGAAAGCCAGAAACCTAGACGCTGGTGGACCCCAGGTGGCTGCTGCAGAAAAACCTCCTGTTACTACAGACTTGCTGGCTGTCAGAAACAGCAAAAGGGGATGAGAGATAACATAAGACAAAATGACAAAAGCAACCACCACTGCCCCTCATGGAGCGCTTCCTGGAGCCAGGCTCTGGTGACCACTGGCCCTTTGTTATGAACGTGAAAATGGAAACAGAGGGTGTCTCACTTCGGCTGTTTGTCTGCATCTCACTGGGATTCAGAGGCTGCAAGGGAAGGAGGTGGTATCGTCAGCTGTCGGTCTT